AGGCGAAAAGTTATATAATATTTGCGGCGGAGTAGAAAAGAAGGTAGAAGAGGTAGAAAAGAAAATAGAAGAGGCTAAAAAAGAGGTTAAAAAAAAGGTGGGCAGGTAAGCGGTGTAGGAGGAGAATAATAAGGTTATATAAAAGGAGATATAGCGCGAGTTCTAGTAATAAAAGCAGGAGAAACAGGGCCCGCAGCAGGATTTAATTTAGGGTAGATAACAAAAGTTTATAAAGGTAGAATAGTTACAGCAGCAGTTATAGCAGTAGGCAGGGCGATATAGAGTATATAAAGCAGCGGGTTTAGGGCGGAGCAATTATAATTTGCGGCAGTATTAGAGGTAAGAAAGTTAATAGGTAAAGGAAATAGTAAAGATATTAGAGGGGAGGATTAAGTTTAAGGCATTTTCGGGTTGTTTTTAGTATAGGGTGCTATTAACCTATAGGTAAAACATATTATAGTATATACTATATTATAATTTAAAACTGAACTATGCGCTGCAATAATATAATTTAGAAACGAAAATCAAATTATACTATAGCAAACCCTAACCGAATTTGCTGGTTCCAACGCTGCAGGTAAGTTATCGACTATTGCGCATTAAATGCACTATTCGGATTAACGATGCAACCGTTAGATTATATTATCGTCGTCGCGTTAGGGTAGTTAGGGTTATAATAATGTTTGTGGCTGTGCGCAGCGATCGCAGTTAAGGCGCGAATATAGAAGGGTAGTTAAGTACCTAAAGTTTATAATAGATATAGTTGTTGCAAGCTATTTATAAGCCCTAGGTACCCGGAAATTAGGACCTACTATACTACTAGTTGCACCCAGGCATATAAGGTTGTAGATAGATCCCCTAAATATATAGTTAAGTAACAGGTGTAATAATTTAGGTGGCTAAGAGTAGGAGGCGTTGGGAAGGGTTTAAGTAGCGGTGAAAGTAGTTAAAAGCACGTCCGGCCGCTATTAACACGGCGATTAACACGTTTATTAATTATCTATTATCTAATATTCCATTATCCTATTATTATATTAAACCGTGAATCCGTTATAGCAATTATCGTAGCAATTATATTAAACGCTATAGAACAATTCACCCGAATTTTCGAGTATATCCCGCAGTACTATATTATAGTTTGCCGAGTTTATAGCTATAGTATTACTAAAACGCAGTTATAAATGCATTTAACTAAGCACTATTAGGAATTAATATTAGCAACACGAAAATCTATATAAAAGGCTATAGCAAATATAGAAGATTAGGCCTAAAACGATAGGTAGGTTGTTTTCCCAGCACCTACCGCTAAACCTATACTGTATTTACCTATTTAGTATAACAGATTAAAATATTTAGGAACCTATAAAAACGACTAGCCGTGTAGAGCTATAGTACGCGGTTTATAGAATATACAGACCTATTATAAGAAGGAGCATAGGTAGAAGAATCCGCAAAAGCAAGAATATTATTACTAAAGGCAGCAGAGCATTATACAGCGGGCGAAGATATAGGAAGTTAGCGTGTATTGCTAGAAATTTAGCAGTAAGGCGTCGTTGGCCCGATTATTCCAGGTAAACGCGCACAACCTAGCCGCTAAGAGAGAAGAATAAAAGGATTCTATCCAGGAGGTATTAGAGGCCGTATTTACACAGGCAATAATTAATATTAAGAAAGCTAATAAGGAAGCGAGCAGTTAGATCTAGGCCGACAACAACCGATTTAAGGTTAATATATAGTTAAACCGCGCCGAATAGGCAAAGCATTTAAAGAGATTAAATAGCGAGTAGTTAGAGTTATTAATGCGCAAGCCCGAGAAAAAAGAGGGAGCGTTGGCCAATTTATGTTTTGTAGTTAAAATAGTAATTTAGAAGGCGCAGCAAGCATCTAAAGCTAGCGTGGTTAGATTAGCAGCTATAAATTATATTAATCGACGTGAAACCGGCAATAAAACAAACGAGAAGCCGTTTAGCGCACGCTAGACGGGCAAGACAATAGTTAAATACAGCGCGTGTTAGTTAGCTATTATCCGTTATATTTAGAGAACCCGCAGAATAGAGCCGATTTATAGCAAGGAAATAGAAAAGTCGGAAAGTAAGGGCGATATCTAGAACTAGAGGCTAGTATTTAGGTTAATAGGTAAACAGGGGTTAGCGTTAGCAAAGATCGAGATAATAGTAGGGCAGGATAAAAAGAAGGATAGCAATAATAGTAATATTAGTAATAATAGCAGTAATAGCAACAACAGTTATATAATTAACGAGAAGGAGTAAAAAAGGTTAGAGGAGGCCGTTTTAGCATTTATATTAGCGTTGTTAGACCACCCGTTTACGGATAATAAGTATACCAGCGTATTAATTAGCGGCATGGCCGTTTTAGGTATTAGCTAGTAATACAGTTAGGAAAGCGCGTTAATATACACGCCTAAAATTGCAGCTATTATTAATATATCCTATATATTAGTTTTATATCAGGCTATAAAAATGCGTAAAAAGCGCGCGGCGGATATATAACAGAAGGAGTATTTTAGCTAGAAAAACGCTAAGGAAATAGCGCCGGCGTATTTTGAATTTATATAAGAAATAGCAGACCGGTTTATAATATTAGTTTAATATAGCGGAATACTGCACCCTATAGATTAGTTGCAGCGGTTAAAGGCGTATAGGATAAATATCCGGTATACTACTAATACTAAGGGCGTAATTAAGTAGATAGACAATATATTATTATATAGTAATATTTAATTTAGCATACCCTAGTTGCGTTTAATAGTCTATAGGTTAGTAGAAACAGCTTAGGTTAAGTTGCACCGGGATTTATTATTATTAGAAGAGGTTAATTAAGTTGTGCAGGGGCTGTTAAGTAGACAGGAAGCCGTTGTATTGCCAGCTATTAATTGGGCGTATTTAGTAGATAACCCAGCTAAGCAATAGTTAGAATAGAGTTTTATTAAGAACCCGTAAAATTAAAAGTTGGGATTTAGAGGCGTGTATAGAAAGAGGTGGTTAAGTAATCGGGTTAGCTAGGAGCAGAAGATTAGGGAGAGGTTTATTAATATTAGAGCTAGCAACCTAGCAGCCGCTATAGTAGTAAAAGGTAAGTAAGGGTTAGTATAAAAGGGGAAAAAGATTAAGAAGTATATATAAGCGATGCGAGTATTCCGGCAGTATTTAGCAGCGTTAGTATATATAATAGGTAGGTTGCCAGCGTATAGAATAAAGTTAATAACGGTACAGTATCGAAATAGCCCGAATAGTAATAGTAGGGGGATTTTTATTAAGAATAGGTTAGTAGTATATATAACAGTATACTATAAAGGTATAGAAGTTAGTGGAAAAGCTAAGGTTATCTACCGATATTTACTACGCGCGGTGGGTAAATTAGTAGTATATTATTTATAGTTAGTATTACTATTTTAGCAGAGGTTAAAAAGTATATAGGGCGGTTAACTAGTAGAGATTAGTCTATTTATATAGGAGCCTGAGCCCGAAAAAGGTTAGATAATACTATAGAGGAAGCGGAGGCGGGTTTAAATTAATAATATAGTAAGCGCAGAAAATAAAAAGGATAAAGAAGAGGAGGATAAAGAGAAGGATAAAGAGTAAGGAGAAGAAGAATACAAAGCAATAGAAGAAACCGAAAATATCGCCGAGGATAAAGAGGGAAAGAATATAGTTCTATTACCTAAGAAATGGAATTCCAACCGTTTAAAAATAGTATTGCAAGGAGCGTTATTATAATAAATAGGGGTTAAGTTAAATATTATAGCATAGAAACACGGCACTAAGGCTATATACTATTAATATATTAATTCTAAGGCGGTTGTAAAGGCGGTGGTGCAGGGCGATAAGGACGATTTAGATAATAAAGATAAAGCATTCGATATCTAGACCGGCTATAAATCTAGGATTAAAGGGGGAATATACGGTCGGTTAATTATAGAGTCGATATTTAGTACTAAGGTAAAAAGGGTATAGTTGCGGAGGGTTAGTATAGAGTAGCATCGGTTTTTATAGTTCCTATGCGCGATGCAGACTAAGCCGAAAAAAGGAACCCGCGCGGCAGCTAATAGAAAAAAGGCTATTAAGGAGGAATATTAACGGTAGAAGATAATAAAATTAGTAGATATAGAGCAGCAGTTAAAAGTATTAGTAGGCGAAAAAGCCGAATTTTAGAGCGTGCAGAGACTAGTATTAAAGGCTATTATATACTATAAGAGCCCGGTAGTTGCTATTATAGGCACAGGTAGAGGCAAAAGCGTGTTATTTATATTGCTAGTATTATATTTAACAGGCGTAACAGTAGTAGTTATACTATTAGTATTATTATAGAAGGATATAAAAAGCCGTTGTAATAAAGCCGGCATCGGTTATATTAAATAGAATAGTTAAAGTCCGTAAAAATAGGCGCAGGTTGTATTAGTCACGCCGGAGTTAGCGGTTAGGAAGGTATTTAGCAATTTTATTAACTAACAGCGGTTAATAGAACGGTTAGACCGGATTATAATTAACGAATACCACGTAATTTTGGATTTAGTAGGCGGGTGGAGGAGCAGGATATTAGCGTTAAGGAATTTAGTTATAATAGAAATATAGTTAGTATATTTAACGGCAATAATCTAGCCCTAAAAAAAAAAGGAATTTATTTAATTAATAGGGTTGCCAGCTAAAGAAGAATACTAGTGGTTTTAGGGGCTAATAACGCGGAAAAACATTATATACCGTATTTAACAATATAATATATAATAGGAAAAGGACGCAGTTATTAAGTTAGTAGAGAGTTTAAAGCAGAAGCATGCGGGGGGGCAGGTAATTATATATTGCGATATAGTAAAAAAGATAATTTAATTAGCAGAAGTTTTAGAGTGCGTTTATTTCCACCAAAACGTAGGAAGCAGTAAAAAGAAGAGCGAGTTAGTAAAGCAGTTAACTAAAGGGTAATAGCAGGTGTTTACAGCTATAAACGTATTAGGGTTAGGTATTAATACGCTAACAATTTAAGCGGTAGTGCACGTTAGAATAATTCGAAAAATACGGTATTACGCGCAGGAGAGCGGAAGAGCAGGGCGTAATAGGCGGAAGAGTAAAGTAATAATTATGCACGGATTCCAAATAAATAAAAGGGGCGTTATTTATAAGCAGGATTTTAGGAAGGATATTAAGAAGGAAATATAGGGATTTATTATAGGTAGGGGTTATATAAAAAAGATAATTAACGGTGTAATAGATAGGAACTAAGAGCGAGTAGAATATAAAGAGGGGGAATAAAGATATTAGTAATATTAAGCGCGTTTAGGGGTAGCGGTTAATAAAAAGGAGGCAGTTATAAAAGCTAAAGTAATAACCGATATAGTAGTCGCTAACAGAGATATAGATAAAATTGTTTCGATTAATTAGAATATATACGCCAGTATAATAGTTGTAATTAAGGACGCCGATAAGCCTAATAATAATATATAGGGCGTTACTACAGCAGACAGCGTGTTAGGGGTACTACTAGCAACACCCTAGATAGAAAAAAAGGCGGTTATAGAAAAAGTGGAATTTAAGCAGCAGTTATTGGTTCAAAAGGTATAAGCAATTAGAAAGGCAAGTTTATAGTTAATAAAAGCGTTAGAGGTAGATAAATTAGTTAAATTAATAGAGCAGTAGAAGGTAGGTTGCTAGTAATATTAGGTATAGGAGGAAAGAAGTAAGGGGCATAATATTTAGTATTGCGATAAGCCGGAAGCGGAGAATATTCGGGTAGTAATTAAGATATTTTAAGAAAAAATAAACCCGATAAAGAAGGCGTAAGGAAAGGGGGTAAAAATATTATAGGCACTATTTTTAGGGTGTTAGGAGTGCGGATTGCTATAGGGGGTTTATATAAGTTATAAAAAGGATATAATACGGGAAGAATAGCAGAAGTAAAGGGGAAAAAAGTGTTAGTATAAAAGAGTATTAGCAGCAGCAGTATACGCAGTATAGGTGCAGTATCCTAAGAAGTTTAGAAATTTTATTAAAAAGGAGATATAAAAAAGAAGGTAGAAAAAAGGCAGTAATAGGGATTAGGGGAGTATATTATAATAGTTTAGCGGGAAGGTTTAATAGGGTAGATTAGAGTTAAATTAAATATATTAGGGATTTATTAGATTTATAGAGCAGGTTAGAAAATAGAAAGTTTAGGGTTATTAGAGTTTTAAAAAAGGGGTAGGTAGGTGCCTATATAGGGTTAAAAGAAGGCAGTAGCAGTAAATATTTAAAGTAGAATAAAAAAGCAAGTGTTAAGTATAAAGTAAAAGTTTAAAAAAGTTTGTTTTTAAAAAAGAGGGGTAGGTAGGTGCCTATATAGGATTAGGGAAAGGCGGCAGCAGTAAATATTTAGAGTAGAGTATAGAAGTAAAAGGGAAATATAGAGTTAGAGTTTAAAAAGGGTGTTTTTTAAAAAAAGAGGGTAGGTAGATACCCGTATAGGGTTAAGGAAAGGCGGCAGCAGTAAATATTTAAAGTAGGATAAAAAAGCAGGTATTAAGTATAAAGTAAGAGTTTAAAAGAGGTTATTTTTAAAAAGGGGGTAGGTAGGTGCCTGTATAGGGTTAAAGGAAAGCGGCGGCAGCAAATATTTAAAGTAGGATAAGAAAGTAAGTATTAAGTATAGAGTAAAAGTTTAAAAAAGTTTATTTTTAAAAAAAGAAGGTAGGTAGGTGCCTATCAACCTATAGGTAAAACATATCGTGGCATATGCCATATTATAATTTAAAACTGAACCGTGCGCTGCAATAATATAATTTAGAAACGAAAATCAAATTATACCGTGGCAAACCCTAACCGAATTTGCTGGTTCCAACGCTGCAGGCAAGTTATCGACCATTGCGCATTAAATGCACCATTCGGATTAACGATGCGACCGTTGGATTATGTTGTCGTCGTCGCGTTAGGGTAGTTAGGGTTGTAATAATGTTCGTGGCCGTGCGCAGCGATCGCAGTCAAGGCGCGAACGTAGGAGGGTAGTTAAGTACCCAAAGTTTGTAATAGATGTAGTCGTTGCAAGCCATTTGCAAGCCCTAGGTACCCGGAAATTAGGACCTACTATACCACTAGTTGCACCCAGGCACGCAAGGTTGTAGATAGATCCCCTAGATGCATGGTTAAGTAACGGGTGTAATAATCCAGGTGGCCAAGAGCAGGAGGCGTTGGGAAGGGTCTAAGTAGCGGTGAGAGTAGTTAAAAGCACGTCCGGCCGCTATTAACACGGCGATTAACACGTTTATTAATTATCTATTATCTAATATTCCATCATCCTATTATTATATTAAACCGTGAATCCGTTACAGCAATTATCGTAGCAATTGTATTAAACGCCATAGAACAATTCACCCGAATTTTCGAGCATATCCCGCAGTACCGCATCGTAGTTTGCCGAGTTTATAGCCACGGCATCACCAAAACGCAGTTACAAATGCATTTAACCAAGCACTACTAGGAATTAACATTAGCAATATAAAAATCCATATAAGAGGCCGTAGCAGATATGGAAGATTGGGCCCAGAACGATAGGCAGGTTGTTTTCCCAGCACCCACCGCTAAACCCGTGCCGTATTTACCTATTTAGCATAACGGATTGAAATGTTTAGGAACCTATGAAAACGACCAGCTGTGTGGAGCTATAGTGCGCGGTTTGCAGAATATGCAGACCTATTATAAGAAGGAGCATAGGTGGGAAAATCCGCGAAAGTAAGGACGTTATCACTAAAGGCAGCAGAGCATTATGCAGCGGGCGAAGATGTGGGAAGTTGGCGTGCATTGCCAGAAATTTAGCAGTAAAGTGTTGTTGGCCCGATTATTCCAGGTAAACGCGCACAACCCAGCCGCCGAGAGAGAAGAATAGAAGGATCCTATCTAGGAGGCATTAGAGGCCGCATTTACACAGGCAACAATTAATATTAAGAAAGCTAATAAGGAAGCGAGCAGTCAGATCCAGGCCGACGATAACCGATTCGAGGTCAATATATAGTTGAACCGCGCCGGATGGGTAAAGCATTTAAAGAGATTAGATAGCGAGTGGTTAGAGTTGTTAATGCGCAAGCCCGAGAAGAGAGAGGGAGCGTTGGCCAATTTATGTTTTGCAGTTAAGATGGTAATTTGGAAGGCGCAGTAAGCATCCAAAGCCAGTATAGTTGGATTGGCAGCCATAAATTACATTAATTAATATAAAACCGGCAACGAAATAAACGAGAAGCCGTTTAGTGCACGCCAGACGGGCAAGACAATAGTTAAATACAGCGCGTGTTGGTTGGCCATTGTCTGTTATATTTGGAGAACCCGCAGAATAAAGCCGATTTGCAGCGAGGAGATAGAAAAGTCGGAGAGCGAGGGCGATATCCAGAACTAGAGGCCAGTATTTAGGTTAACAGGCAAATAGGGGTTAGCGTTGGCAAAGATTAAGATAATAGTAGGGCAGGATAAAGAGGAGGATAGCGACAATAGTAATATTAGCGATAATAGCAGTAATAGCAACAACAGTTATATAATTAACGAGGAGGAGCAAGAGAGGTTAAAGGAGGCCGTTTTAGCATTTATGTTAGCGTTGTTGGACCACCCGTTCACGGACAACAAGTACACCAGCGCATTAATTAGCGGCATGGCCGTTTTAGGCATTAGCCAGCGATGCGGTTAGGAAAGCGCGTTAATATACACGCCTAAAATTGCAGCTATTGTTAATATATCCCGTATATTGGTTTTATATTAGGCCATAAAAATGTGTAAAGAGCGCGCGGCGGATATACAACAGAAGGAGCATTTCAGCTAGAAAAACGCCGAGGAAATAGCGCCGGCGCATTTTAAATTTGTGCAAGAGATGGCAGACCGGTTTATAATATTGGTTCGATATAGCGGAATACCGCACCCCGTGGATTGGTTGCAGCGGTTGAAGGCGTATAGAATAAAGATCCGGTACACCACTAATACTGAGGGCGTAATTAAGTGGATAGATAATATGTTGTTGTATAGTAATATTCGATTTAGCATGCCCTAGTTGCGTTCGATGGTCTATAGGTTAGTAGAGACAGCCCGGGTCGAGTTGCACCGGGATTTGTTATTGTTGGAAGAGGTTAATTAAGTTATGCGGGGGCTGTTAAGTGGACAGGAAGCTGTTGTATTGCCAGCTATTAATTGGGTGTATTTAGTAAATAACCCAGCTAAGTAATAGTCGGGATAGAGTTTTATTAAGGACCCGCAAAATCAAGAGTTGGGATTTAGGGGCGTGTATAGAAAGAGGTGGTTAAGTAATTAGGTTAGCTAGGAGCAGAAGATTAGGGAGAGGTTTATTAATATTGGAGCCAGCGACCCAGCAGCCGCTATAGCAGCAAAAGGCAAGCAAGGGTTAGTATGGAAGGGGAAGGAGATCAAGAAGTATGCACAAGCGATGCGAGTATTCCGGCAGCATTTGGCAGCGTTGGTGCATATAACGGGTGGGTTGCCAGCGCGTGGAATAGAGTTGATAACAGTGCAGTATTAAAACAGCCCGAATGGCGACAGTAGGGGGATTTTTATTAAGGACAGGTTAGTAGTATATATAACGGCATACTATAAAGGCATAGGAGTTAGTGGAAAGGCTAAGGTTATCCACCAATATTTGCCACGCGCGGTGGGCGAATTAGTGGTGTATTATTTGTGGTTAGTGTTGCTATTTTGGCAGAGGTTAGAGAGTATATAGAGCGGTTAACTAGCAGAGATCAGTCTATTTATATAGGAGCCCGAGCCCGAAAAGGGTTAGACAATGCTATAGAGGAAGCGGAGGCGGGTTTAAATTGATAATATAGCAAGCGCAGAAGATAAAGAGGATAAAGAAGAGGAGGATAAAGAGAAGGATAAAGAGCAAGGAGAAGAAGAATGCGAAGCAATAGAAGAAACCGAAAACATTGCTAAGGATAAAGGGGGAAAGAATACAGTTCTGTTACCCGAGAAATGGAATTCCAACCGTTTAAAGATGGTATTGCAAGGAGCGTTGTTGTAATAGATAGGGGTTAAGTTAAATATTATAGCATGGAGACACGGCACTAAGGCTATATACTGTTAATATATCAATTCTAAGGCGGTTGTAAAGGCGGTGGTGCAGGGCAATAAGGACGATTTAGATAACGAAGATAAAGCATTCGATATCTAGACCGGCTATAGATCTAGGATTAGAGGGGGAATATACAGTCGGTTAATTATAGAGTTGATATTCAGCACCAAGGTAAGAAGGGCACAGTTGCGGAGGGTTAGCACAGAGTAGCATCGGTTTTTGCAGTTCCCGTGCGCGATATAGACTAAGCCGAAAAAAGGAACCCGCGCAGCAGCCGATAGAAAGGAGGCTATTAAGGAGGAATATCGACGGTGGAAGATAATAAGATTAGTGGATATAGAGCAGCAGTTAAAAGCGTTGGTAGGTAAAAAGGCCGAATTTCGGGGCGTGCAGAGACCAGTATTAAAGGCTATTATACACTATAAGAGCCCGGTAGTTGCTATTATAGGCACAGGTGGAGGTAAGAGCGTGTTGTTTATATTGCTAGCATTATGTTCAACAGGCGTAACGGTAGTAGTTGTGCTATTAGTGTTGTTGCGGGAGGATATAAAAAGCCGTTGCAATAAAGCCGGCATCGGTTGCGTTGAATAGAACAGTTAAAGTCCGCAAGAATAGGCGCAGGTCGTGTTGGTCACGCCGGAGTCGGCGGTTAGGGAGGTATTTAGTAATTTTATTAACTAACAGCGGTTAATAGGACGGTTGGACCGGATTATAATTAACAAATGCTATGTAATTTTGGATTTAGTAGGCAGGTGGAGGAGCAGGATATTGGCGTTAAGGAATTTGGTTATAATAGAAACGCAGTTGGTGTATTTAATAGCAATAATCCAGCCCCGAGAAGAGGAGGAATTTATTCGATTAATAGGGTTGCTAGCCAGGGAAGAATGCCAGTGGTTTTAGGGGCCAACAACGCGGAAAAACATTATATACCGCATTTAACAATATAATATACAACAGGAAAAGGACGCAGTTATTAAGTTGGTAGAGAGTTTAAAGCAGAAGCACGCGGGGGGGCAGGTAATTGTGTATTGCGACATAGTAAAGAAGACAATTCGATTAGCAGAAGTTTTAGAGTGCGTTTATTTCCACTAAAACATGGGAAGCAGTAAGGAGAAGAGCAAGTTGGTGAAGCAGTTAACTGAAGGGCAACAGCAGGTGTTCACGGCCACAAACGCATTGGGGTTAGGCATTAATGCGCCAACAATTCAAGCGGTAGTGCACGTTGGAACAATTCGAAAAATGCGGCATTACGCGCAGGAGAGCGGAAGGGCAGGGCGTGATAGGCAGAAGAGTAAAGCAATAATTATGCACGGATTCCAAATAGATAAAAGGGGTGTTATTTATAAGCAGGATTTCGGGGAGGACGTTAAGAAGGAAATACAGGGATTTATTATAGGTAGGGGTTGTATAAGAAAGATAATTAACGGTGCAATAGATAGGAACTAAGAGCGAGTAGAATGCAAAGAGGGGGAACAGAGATATTAGCAATATCGAGCGCGTTTAGGGGTAGCAGTTAATGAAGAGGAGGCAGTTATAGAAGCCGAAGTAACAACTAATACAGTAGTTGCTAACAGGGATATAGATAAGATTATTTTAATTAATTAGGATATACGCGCCAGCACAATAGTTGCAATTAAGAACGCCGATAAGCCCGACGACGATGTATAGGGCGTTACCACAGCAGACAGCGTGTTAGGGGTACCACCAGCAACGCCCCGGATGGAAAAGGAGGCGGTTGCAGAGAGAGTGGAATTTGAGCAGCAGTTGTCGGTTTAAAAGGCACGAGCAATTAGAGAGGCAAGTTCACAGTTAATAGAAGCGTTGGAGGTAGACAGATTAGTTAAATTAATAGAGCAGTAGAAGGTGGGTTGCCAGTAATATTGGGCATAGGAGGAAAGGAGTAAGGGGCACGATATTTGGTATTGCGATAAGCCGGAAGCGGAGAATATTCGGGTAGTAATTAAGATATTTTAAGAAAAGATAAACCCGATAAAGAAGGCGCAAGGGAAGGGGGTAAAGATGTTGTGGGCACCGTTTTTAGGGTGTTGGGAGTGCGGATTGCCACAGGGGGTTTGCGCAAGTTACGAAGAGGATATAACGCGGGAAGGGTAGCAGAAGCAAAGGGGAAAGAAGTGTTAGTATAAGGGAGTATTAGCAGCAGCGGTGTACGCAGTATAGGTGCGGTATCCTAAGGAGTTTAGAAATTTTGTTAAGGAGGAGATGTAAAAGGGGGGGTGGAAAGAAGGCAGCGACGGGGATTAAAGGAGCGTGTTACAATAGTTTGGCGGGAAGGTTTAATAGGGTGGATTAGAGTTAAATTAAATATATTAGGGATTTATTAGATTTATAGAGCAGGTTGGGAGATAGGAAGTTTAGGGTTATTAGAGTTTTAAAGGGGGGGTAGGTGGGTGCCCGTGTGGGGTTAAAGGAAGGCGGCGGCAGCAAATATTTAAAGTAGGATAAGAAAGCAAGTGTTAAGTATAGAGTAAAAGTTTAAAAGAGTTTATTTTTAAAAAGGGGGGGTAGGTGGGTGCCCGTGTGGGATTAGGGAAAGGCGGCGGCAGCGGATATTTAGAGTAGAGTATAGAAGTAAGAGGGAAACGTAGAGTTAGAGTTTAAAAG